TATATATATATATAATGATAATTATATATTTATTAAATTATATTGTCCTCTTGAATTCAACAGTTTAATGCTGTCAGTCACCCTAATTTAGTTAAGTTATGTTAATTGATTTTATTTAAATATATATTTATATATATTTGCATTTTTATACATTTATTTGTTAGTTATATCATTTATGTATTTATAACATGATATTGTCTTCTTATGTAGCTTCAATTTGAGTACTTTTTGTTAGTTAAATAATTTTTTATAAACGAGTATCTTAACTAAATCACTTTCAATGATAGGTAACTTTGACAGTATCTTTCTCAGCACTGGTTATTAGTGTGTTGCTCTGTCAATAAGATTACATTGAGAAAGCCTGTTAGTTTGTGCAGGTAAATAAACTGTATTCTTATTCATTGACAGCACATGATACAAAAAAAAAGCAAAACAGAATTAATTTGCATTTTTATTGGCATCACTGAAAGCGGTTAAACAAGGATCACATCTTTAGATTAGTGGAGGCAGACTTTGTTTACAGATGAATTATGAATAAGTATTATGTATCGCAGGAAATTGGATGTGACAGTAGGTGAATTGCGGATTCTTTTTGTTTTATTCTCCCTGACCGTGAAAAGTTTGAGTTTGACTTTACATAAAAAGTGACCTTGCGCACAACATTTACATAAATCATGTATAATGCCTCATGTTAATCTGCTCATGCACGTCATTTGCATAATGTTTAGCGAGTGCTGCATTTCATGTTATTCTGCCTGCATTGATTTCTCTGTTCGTTTCTATTACGGCTCATGTTAATATCGGTTTTACCATAATCCGGTGAACGAGAGTCCTGGTTAACACCTGCTCTGTGCTTCCTCTGACAGGCCACTCTCGTCGGTTGCTGTCGTTCATCCGAACCCGTCCTCACTCAGGAAGAGAAGCAAAGTTTCATGAGGTCAAAGGTCACGGAGCCGCCGTCTGACAACAGCAACTCTGTCAAACAAGAGACGGCATCCGGTGACAACGAGAGAAAAACCTTTCTTCAGAAATGCACTTGTCTTAGAACGTGAAATCAGCTTCTGGTGTTGTATATATACTGTTACTGTTTTGTTTTTGTAAATACAAAATGAATTAAAAGCATTTAACACTGTTGCATACACAAATAACTCACTTTCCAAGGGTAATAAAAACTAAAACCATAAAAAAAAAGTTGTTTCTTGAAATAAAATATCATCAATTTAAGCATTTTTCATTTTCATTTAGTAAACCTTGTGCTCTAAAAAAAAAACTTAAATTAAACATAAAATAAAAATAATAAAAACTATAGAGACATTAAAAAAAGAAACATTAAAAAAAAATACTAATAGAAATATATGACAAATAAAAAAATGACAAGAACACACAACAACATTTCTAAAACCTTAACTAAAATTATATTGACAATGGAAAAAATATGAATAAAAAGTGTAATAGTACCTCAATGACACTAAAACAACACTCCAAAAATATCTTATATAAAGTATTTATACTGCAATAGAAAATATCATTATTTATGATTGATGGTATTTTCTATCATATTCTGAATTATGGATAGATAGATAGATAGATAGATAGATAGATAGACAAAATGATAAACAAAACGATAGACAGATAGATAGATAGATAGATAGACAGATAGATAGATAGATAGATAGATAGACAAAATGATAAACAGATAGATAGATAGATAGATAGATAGATAGATAGACAAAATTATAAACAAAACGATAGATAGATAGATAGATAGACAGAATGATATACAAAACAATAGACAGATAGATAGATAGATAGATAGATAGACAAAATTATAAACAAAACGATAGATAGATAGATAGACAAAATGATAAACAAAATGATAGATAGATAGATAGATAGATAGATAGATATTCATGATTTATATATAATTAATTTATAAATAATTTATTGATTTTGTAAATGCTGAATTGCAATATATAGTGTAAGTGTGATTTACTAGGCAAACAAATTTAGCAAACAATTATTATATTATAGCTAGTCGTATATTACCACGCAAGAGATGAATATGTGTAAAATGATTTGAAATCAACAACAAAATATACACTAATGTTCAAATTTGTTAATGTTTTTGAAGAAATAATCTTCTGCTCACCAAGGCTGCATTTATTAGGTCAAAAATACAGAAAAATCTGTAATATTGTGAAATATTATTACAACCTAAAATAGCTGTTTTCTATGTGAATATCTGTTAAACTGTAATTTATTGCTGTGATGTAAAGCTGAATTTTCAGCATCATTACTCCAGTCTTCAGAGTCACATGATCTTCAGAAATCAGTCTAATATGCTGATTTACTGCTCAAGAAACATTTCTGATTATTATCAGTTGTGCTGCTTCATGTTTTTGTGGGAACCGTGATACATTTTACTTTTCAGGATTCTCTGCTGAATAAAAATTTCAAAAGAACAGCGTTTGAAATAGGTCTTTTGTGATATTATAAATGTCTTTAGTGTCACTTTTGATCAACTCAATGCATGAATAAAAAAATATTAATTCATTTTTTTTTAAAATCCTGCTGACCCCAAACTTTTTAAATTTCTCAGCTGTTTGTGACCTGAGACTCATTTTAGGTCAGTATGAAGCATGTCTGCTAGTTGTCTTATAAAGTACAGTCATCGAGACAAGCCGTTACCTCACTAGCGTACCTTACCATGCTCTTCAGCGAACAAACTCTGTTTATTATTGTGCAGAAGACACTGCCATCATAACATTAGCTGTTGGCAGGTGAGCCACACATGATCCAGTCTCTCACACACTCCCTCAGGGTTTGTTGACTCAATCCCAGCCATTACACAAAGTGCTGTTTTTCTTTTCCAGCGCAAATATATAGCGGTCGACACAGGTCATGAATCATCGCTCAAACGATCCAGGTGTTAGCCTGGATAAAACCGCGTAATTGGCCAGCCTTTGGCAGATAAATATAGATATAAGCAAATGTCAGCCAGGAGAGCGCATATATGTATCCGAATAATGAAGTCTTCATTCAGAAGTACACTTTTGATTAGCTGCTATATGTCCAAAGCATGACGGAAGTTATTAAAGCCCAGTGCACGCTCATCCCGAAGACAACGTGCTTTTCATCCGTCACTCAACAATGGAAATGCAGTAAATTGGCGACTCCGGTGGGTTTTCCTTCACACCGCTGAGTGACTGATTGATGACTAGCCTATTTGTAATGCATTTTTACATGTGTTGTGCATTGGGACACTTTACGGTAGACTTAAGGAGGAGACAGAGCGGCTATGACAGAATGAGGCCAGGAAGGAAAGGGTAGAAATGGTGAAAACACCTGATAGGCCTGTCAAAAGCACAAGACAAGCCGAGATTGGAATATTTCCAACCGCTGCCTGCCTTTGACCCACATGTCCTCATATTAGGATCGTTTTGGCAAATACTGTCAGCTAAATCTGGCTCTGTTCTGTCTGCATGAACAAGTGGATGATGAAATGGGAGTAGACGTGCAGAGAGAAGCGCTTGTGATGTACTGCTTATTATTGGCTTGCTATTGGTTCAGGGGAAGTGCATGAGGAATCCCAGCATAATTTATTATGGTGCATATCCATTGGAGATTGTCCTCTGTATAGAAAAACATTAAAGGCCTAGGCAATATAGCTTGAAAAATTCTGAGGTACTGTGAGTTTTCTTCATTGTTATTTCACTACAGTTGACATCCGGAAGAAATACACAGACATTATTTTTGTTGTTGCTTTGGAGTAAAGCTGATTTGGAAAAAAGTCATTCGAAAAAAAAAATCCTCACTCACTGTATTGAAACGTTAGTGCCTGCGTGTGGACGCAATTGCCATTGCGAACTCTTTGATCCTCTTTCTGGGACAGTATTTTTTTCCCTATTTTTTCAGTATTTTCCTATTTTTGCGGATTCTGAACTGGTAACAGAGCCTTGTTTTGAACGAATCTGCATTACAATGTTTGCTGGAAGGACGGCATATTGGAAACATTCATGTGGATGATATTTTTGGTGATTTCCTCTGAATTTTTTTATTGTGTTTAAAAAGAAAAGAGTTGCTATTTTTGATACAGGTTGCTGTTGGTTGATCTGATTACCCTGCCATATCTGGACACTCCCAATACCAGCCCAGTTCCGCAGTGAGGTAAAATGCAAATATTGAGTTGTGACTCTCACTCAGGTATATTGCTGATTGACATGAGAAAGAGTTTCTGAAGTAGAATGTAACATTTACTACATACTGTCAGTTGAACTGAATATCATTTGAACATCTTGCAGGAACTGTGTCCTTGATTCTGGATGATTTGACCATTACAGCAGAGGGCAAAGAGTCTCTGACAAAAAAATTAGTTAAGTGAAACTTTATTTGGTGTTTTCTCTGTGTTTATTGAACTTTGGAAAAATAAACCCAAAACTTGTGTTTCTTGGAGTAGGGGCATTCCTCCTGTCTTGTGGGTTGATATAGGGGCAGAGGGGTTAATTAACGTCACTATACTCTGGAGTGCTACCGTGCATGTTATTATGTTCCGGAGCCTCAATCCTTATCAGTCACTGCTACAAACAAGAAAAGCATAATCATCAAGGCAGGCAAAACATACTTAAATAGTACATAAATAAGTACTGGAATCAATTGTGCAAGGTGTGAGGACCTAGATCCTGTCATTTTCCTAGTCGTCCAAGCTATTGCTGAAGAGAAACTTTGTTGTTTGTAGTATTCTGTCCCAGTTCTATGAGCAGGAAGAAAATGGCTGAACTGGAAGAACTGAAGGAGGAGTTTGTTGGATCACGCCAGACTGGAATGGCGAGAAGCTCTATCATTGGCAAGGACGGTAATGGAGCAGCAAGCATCCGCTTGTGCGCCCCCAGCAATGATCTATGTCCCAAGGGATCATAAACTTACAGATTTCTCTGGCTCCACCAAGCCTGGTGAAGGAAGTATGGAGTGGATAGTTTCTATGAAATCAGCATTTCGAGTCATGAAAGTACCAGAGGAAGATCAAGTGGAGCTGATAAAGCAGCACCTAAAGGGGGAAGCTAAATATACTGTGAATTTCATGTTGGGAGGAGAGGATGGCAATGTGGAGTCCATTTTCAAAGTGCTTCAGGAAATCTATGGGGACAAGGTACCTATTGACACTAACAAGGTACCTATTGGCACCTATGCTTATGACCTACGAGATAAACTTTACAAGGTAAAGCGCAGAGAGCCTGGGTGAGTTCCAGATGAAGAGAGTATTTTGAAAGAGCAGTTAGTCCTTGGACTAAGAGATGATTTCCTAAGAAGAGAGATGAAACGAAGGATCAAGGAAGAGCAGAGCTTGACTTTTGCACAGCTGATGCAGGACTCTATTACCTGGTCTGAGGAAGAGGAAGCACAGCCAGAAGGTAACTTGAAGACCCCTGGGCATGCAAGAGCTGCAGTTCACACTGCAGTTGCAACTGGTGACAACTCGTCTTCACTTACATTAGAGAAGTTGCACACGGCAATATAGAAGGTAGCGGCGCGTCATGAAGAATTGTACAGAATAGTCCATAATCAAGGGAGAGTTGACCCTCAGCCTGGTGTTGTGAGAAGAGAGCCACTGAAAAATAGTGAAGGGAAGTATATATGTTACACATGTGGTGAACCAGGCCAATCCAGTCGTTGTTGTGGGCAGAGTAAGGAGCTGAATAACCGGGGCACTGCGTCATCACAAATGGCAGGAGTAACTGAGGCATTAAGAGGAGTTTCGTTAGGTGACTTGGCAAGCATCAGTGGGCCTTCAGTTATCCAGAGCCATACAGCTGACTGGAAGGCAGAGGTAGTGCCAGAAACGCTATGGGAGAGTGCTTTTGGAGACTGTTTGACAGTGGATGTAAAAAAAGCAGTGGTACCCACCCCATGCCTACTGGACATTGGTTCAGAGGTTACGACCATCTTAGAGTCTCACTTTAAACAACATTTTGGAGAGCAAAAGGTACAGTTGTCATCTGCTAACTGAGTGCGTCTCACTGCTGCAAACGAATCAGACATTCCAGTCCTCCAGTGT